TAATACACGAGTTTCACAATTTGAGTTGAATTACTGAAATAAATGAACTTTTCCATGACATTCTAATTTATTGAGATGCACCTGTATATATATATATATATATATATATATGGAACACATGTAGCGTATATTCATATTTTTACACTCTTATCTGTACAAATCTTTATATGTGATATTTAAATGAATGTTTATACTATGTGTATATAAGTGCTCTTTGTATATATACTTATCTATTTTTTATTATTTTTGTTCATTTGTATTATTCTGTATTCAGTATCTAGCAGTTGTATTTCTATAGAAAAGTCAAATATATTATAAGCACACTTGGCAAGTAGCATTTTCTAATTTAATACATTTATTTTGCCATTACACAGATCAGAGAAACCTGGGAATGTCCATGCGAGTGGAGCGCTCTTCATTGGATCAAGTTAAAAAACGTTTTGAAGTAAACAAGAAAAAACTGGAGGAAAAGCAGAAGGAGTATGATTTTGAGGAACGAATGAAGGAGTTGCGAGAGGAGGTCAGTCTTGAAATTGAGGTTCATTTACGGACAGGTGACATGCAAATAAGTGTTAAAGGTGCAATAGGTGATTGTCTTCAGAAACATTTTTTGTTATGCTGGTTGAAAGTCTCTTCACATCCCGATAGCAATCATTAAGTTAAGTGGTCTAAATGTATTTGTCTGTATTTATATATTCTGTGGAAGGCGTAGGACCAAGAAATGTTCGTCCAATCAAAACGCTCGGTCCGAGCATTTTAATATGCTTTCCTACCTGCCTGTCAACGTATGTATTATCATACCTCTGCCTTAGGAATACGCCGATCCGATATTCATATCAGGTATCGGCTCCGATAGTGCCGTTTTTCTCGGATCGGGTATCGGTCAGAGAGGGCCGATCCAAATCCGAGATTTTATTTTATCCCCTCCCCCCCCGATTGTGCTAATTATTCTGTGTTACTTCTGAAGCCATACGATAGCTTAATGTGAGCTACATATGAATATTTAAGTCCTTACATTAAAGTTCACACAAACTCTTTTCTCCGCTGTGGCTGTCAGTCATTCGTTCAGCCTTTAAACCCTGGTCGCGTTCGGTTACATCAGTCAATTAAATGGGGGAAAAAAACTTCACTGGTATCGGTATCGGCCAATACCGAACCCTAGATATCGGAATCGGTATCGGAGGCGAAAAAGTCGGATCGGAGCATCCCTACTCTGCGCACCGCGTTCGCACAAACAGGACACGTCATCAGTGCGTTCATGCACGCTGTGCAGACAGAGCGAGAATGGCAGACGATATGATCCCTACACAGTGTTCATTGCTCCCTACTCCCTGAGCGAGAGAAATCCGTTGAAGTTTACTTCACTTCGGAACATGGGCTGGAATTAGGAACCGCTGATGTAGCCTATTGTAGTAATGTTGTCTCTGGTATTCTGGTCTGTGAGCGTAAATGCGTTAAGGGGGCGTGGCTTTGGACGGCGATTGCAGGGAGGGTGGGACGTTCGCTTTCAGTGCTATCAGGCTAAAGTTAGCATTTTCCAAGATCTCCTACTGCACCTTTAAATAAGTGTGACATGCAAAACCAGTGCCTCTTAACTCACAATTGTGAATAAAACTATATAATTTTTGTGATGACCAGTGCATGTTTTATGTAAAATCCAAATCTTAAAGGAACACTCCACTATTTTTGAAAATAGGCCATTTTCCAACTCTCGAATCCATTCAGCCGATCTCCAGGTCTGGCGGTAGCACTTTTAGCTGCAGCTTAGCATAGATCATTGAATCTGATTAGACTGTTAGCATCTCGCTCAAAAATGACCAAAGAGTTTCTATATTTTTCCTATTTAAAACTTGACTATTCTGTAGTTACATCGTGTATTAAGACAGACGGAAAATGAAAAGTTGCGATTTTGTTAGGCCGATATGGCTAGGAACTATACTCTCATTCCGGTGTAATAATCAAGGAACTTTGCTGCCGTACCATGGGTGCAGCAGGCACAATGATATTATGCAGCGCCTGAAAATAGGCTTATTGGAAGTTACCTAGCTGTGACTATTTTCAGTCGCTGCGTAATAGGGGAGTTGGAGAATGAGCCTATTTTCAAAAATAGTGGAGTGTTCCTTTAAAGTGATAGTTCACCCAACAATTAAAATTTGCTGTTAATTTAGAGATGTGGGTGACTTTTGTTCAGTAGAACAGTAAAGAAAGTCACTCTGACTCGAAATGAGTCACATATGATCCTAGGATGTTTTTGCCAACTCATTCAGCACTCCAGTTACTCCAAACAGTTTGGAATCGATGATCTGCTGAACACTTGAATGAAGGGGCGAAATGAAAGGTTTTTATGGTTTATGTAAAAAGGTTTTATTCACTTTATATGCTTTAGACATGTAAAACATCAGTGTTTTACATTGTTGGGTGCTTTAATAATATAATTGTGAGTATGTGACGTCATCGCTTAATTGTGTAAACAAACTGGTGAATCAGTCATTTGAACCAGTTCATTGAAATGACATGTCCGAAGTTACTCCAAACAGTTTGGAATCGATGATCTGCTGAACACTTGAATGAAGGGGCGAAATGAAAGGTTTTTATGGTTTATGTAAAAAGGTTTTATTCACTTTATATGCTTTAGACATGTAAAACATCAGTGTTTTACATCATTATTGGGTGCTTTAATAATATAATTGTGAGTATGTGACGTCATCGCTTAATTGTGTAAACAAACTGGTGAATCAGTCATTTGAACCAGTTCATTGAAATGACATGTCCGAAAGAACCAGTTTGCAGAAAAGAATCAGACTTCCCTGTTTGCCCAAGACTCTGTATTAAAGGTAATAATGCTGTAAATAATGTTCAGTTTCTTGCACCGACCAGTCGCTTCGTTTCAATACATTAGCAACATATCGTCAGGAGCTACGGGTATTAATTTTGTCTTGCCTGTATATCTTAAATATCTTATTCAGGTCAAAAAAAAAAAAAACACACATTTAGTATCCCTCTAATTTTGGTAAAATAATTAACATTTTGCAGATACTCCAAAGTGTATTTAAAATTTTGACCATAACTGTATATGCTTTTTTTTGTTGTAACTCTTAAGTGCTGGTAGTCTCTGACTTGTATTTATGAATCACCAAGGACCATGGTTTCAGCTAAAAATCATCTTTACTATTCTATTGAAGAAAAAATTCACCTACATTTTTGGATGTCCTGAGGTTGTGTAAATGAACAGCAAATGATCATTTTTGGGTGAACTATCCCTTGAAGAATTTTCCTTTGTTCTGGCAAGAGCATATCAATACTCAAGAGTTCATAACCTATCCTAATTTTTTCATTCTGTTGTTAAGGAGGAGAAAGCGAAAGCTTACAGAAAAGAAAAGCAAAAGGAAAAGAAAAGAAAGGCAGAAGAAGATCTCAACTTTGAAGATGATGATGAAATGGCTGCTGTGATGGGATTCTCAGGTTTTGGATCCTCCAAAAAAGGCCACTGATCACTCATTTTAAAAGTTTGCTCACCAAGGCCTTCTGTGAATAGGTATCCCTGAACTGTATGAAAATTTTCAAGAACTTCATTATTGCTTTACAGGACCACACAGCTTTTTGTTGCGCATTCTGTTAAACACCTCTGATTCAACACATGTGGTGGGTAACCTGTTCTTGGCCCTTGATTATAGAACATCAGCATAACTCTGTCAATCTAAATTGAGCTCCTTATTATGATGGAAGTTTTTGTTATAAAGTGTAAATAGGGCTGCATATGCATAAATGTTTTATGAGTTGTGTCTGAAGTTACCATCTTATACCTTCTAAACAATGAAACAGAAAAGGTTCAAATTAAAACAATATAACCTCAAGACTTGATGCTTCTATTCCCCAGCATCTCTGTGGATGTGGGGCTGACAAGGAATTGAAAACCTGTTGAAGTTATAATTATAGAGCTTTTTATTATTATTATTATTATTATTATTATAAGGAGACTGATAGATTGTAATTTGTGGTTATTTTACATTAAAACATTGACTTTTTTTTTTTTTTTACATGAAACATTGAAGTTTTCCAGTGTATTAAAGTACAATACTAACTATGGCCATGATAAAGAACTAAAGATTACTTGATGTGCATGTGTGTATGTATATGTAAATAGAAATTTACGATATGGAGTTATTCATTTTTTTTTATGACATCTGTTACAGAAGTTTTATTTACTTTACGTAAGCACACATCACATATAATGACAACTTAATTAAATAATTAAGCATTTTTAACTTGACTAATTACCAAAATTAGAGTAATGGAAAAGCTTTAGCTGCTATTGATTTATATAGTAGATTACCACCTGGTGGTGTTATTGGCTCCCATAAATTTACTATGGCAAATGAAAATGTACATCTGGCAAAATAATCAACAAAATGAAATAAATCAAAAGTCAGCACCTACAATTCTAAATAATTCCGCATAGACCTTGGGCCCGTTCTTCGTACGTTGCTAACTCAGCTGGATTTGATTGTTGACGATTTGGCATGATCTTGGATTATTTGGTTCTTCGAAGCTCATCCCGGAGGTCCGTAAATTTAAACCTGCTCGGGAGCAGGTTTATTTCATGTAAACAGGATTAGATCGCATCTTTTTAAGCAGAATTTGGGCGCGTTCTTCGTACATGGCTAACTCAGTTAGCTGGATTTGATTGTTGATTTGGATCATTTGGTTCTTCGAAGCTCATCCCGGAGTTGCTGTCATAGCAACAGGTCCGTAAACTTAAACCTGCTCGGGAGAAGGTTTATTTCATGTAAACAGGATTAGATTGCATCTTTTTAAGCAGAATTGATACTTAAAATCTGTCCCAGCCACCGCTACTTTATTACAAGAGACCCTACTAATCCAGGGACAATAATTTAAAATAATAATTTAAAGATAATATAATAATGTTGTGTAGCCTTTAATACTATACACGCAGCCGGTTTTACTCGCGGAGAGATTTATTCGTCATAAAATAATCACTTCATAGTTGTATTCGAGTCTTACACATGCTATACAGATAATGTAGAGTCGTGTATTAATTTGAGTGCTGACAGCTATTATGGGAGTGTCTTGATGGAGCGCAGGAGATGCAGATAACATGATCTTGACCCTTAAGAAACTTTAATTACTGCTGTCACGTAACAAATTTGTTCAAATATAAAATTAAATGAATTGCTAATTACTACGTTGAAATAAAAATGTAAAGCCTGTACAAATATTAGAACTCGTGAATATAAATAATTGGGAATCATGAAAAAAAAATTAAAGTAAAATAAAAACAGTGCACATTTAATTTATCTATTGTAACATTTATGTAGTTTTGTTTTCCTTATAAAAGGCCAGAAATTTGTCAAGTTTTTCGTCAGGTGTCTTTTTTTAATGAAATTATGTCATTACGGTGCTGTTTTGCCGCCTGCCAATCGCTGCATTGCTGATCGTGGTTTCGAGTATCGATACATAGCCCCCTTTTAAACCAACCCATGAACGCGCAATGATCTCAGATAACTCAATCCAGCCATACTAATCATCAACAACAGGTGCGTTCGAAGAAACGAATTAGCCAGATCCTGATTAGCGCGGTGATATCATCTTGGATGTGTCATTTGATCTCGGATGTAATAAGCGACGTACAAAGAACGGGCCCCTTGTCAATTAAAAATGTCAATTCACAACATAAACATTCCAACAAAAAGAACAGCCAAAATGTTAATTTGTAAAGGGAAGCGGCTCAGCTGTACACACTGACAGACACATGGTGCCAGAGGGTTCTGTCCTTTCATTAGCCTACAAATGCTATTTCCATTGTGCATAGATAAAGAGGAAATATAATGTGTCTGTTGTATCAAAAATGAGGAAAAACTGAGCATCAATGATAGGTTTGTGATCTCCAGAAACAAACGCGTAGCCATTGAGAGTAATAAACAATCCTAAGCATCAGTGACAAAATGCTCAAATAATTGCATTTAAAATGAGCAATAAAGAAGAAAAGAGGGTTTTTAGTGTGTCTAGCGTGTGTAGCCTAACGATAGTTTCCACTAAAATAAAGACCAAGTAATGTTACAACAGAATTCAGTGTGGGAGCTCCTTAAAACATTATTGACATATAAACAACTGGATGACATTACCCTGGCCTGAATCAAAACCGCTGACTTTGCCCTCAAAACTGATTTTAATACACCCACTGAACCACCTTCTACTTTGTAAGCAGCCAGGACATGGAAATAACTGTGACAAGGCAGGGGAATTGTATTTTGGTGTATGACATCAATTAAATGTAATATGATAATCATATCTGAACATCCGTTTACAGCTTTGCGAATCAAATACACTTTACAGCTACATCAAAGTGGATATTCAGTGATGCAGGCACATTAACCGAGATATTTCCATGAACTAACCCCTACAACAGGAGCAACTGAAAGCTTGAAACTCATAGTTTCCAGTTGTGGGTGTTACATGCGAACAGTTCCGGGACTGAACCAGCCACCCGTGTTGCAGGTCACGATCCACAATCATTCACACAATCTGACTTTTGATTAGTTTCTTTTGAAAATGTGGTTCTTAGATAGTAAATAACTGCATAATTCCCATAATACAATCATTTGGGTGCTAGTTTTAAAATAAAGCATGCTACAAAATTGTTACAATTTAGCCAGGTTTACTTTAAGAAAACAGTTCAAATGAAAGTGATAAAAATAGCTCTTACGTATCAGTCTTTAAATGTTAAATTCAAATGTTAAATCTGTATTTAAATAAGCAAAATATATAACCTGGAAAGCATCAACTACTGGCAAATAAAGCTCTGAACTAAAAGATAAAACTACAAAAATATCTGTAATAAAATTACAGCTTTGGTATATACATATATATTCATATGATTTATGTTGTAAACGTCTAAATGTTATTTTATAAATTATTTTCCCAAAGAAAGCCTTCATGATAGCCCATTGCCTGTGTTTATCAAAATTCAAATCCACAATTTAAGAATCACATGACGTGGAACTGGCAAGATGTAGATAATGAGGCAAATAATTAAAACATAATAATGGAGTTTTAAATATACATTGTGTGTCCAGGATCTTACCAAATACTAAAATGAATCTAAGATTGAGTCCAGTAGTTCATAATGTCCAGTGCTTATACATCTGTCTGAGGGGGCGAAGATTAATTATAATAAATTAAGAAATAACTTCTTTTTTTTATGAAGGGGCTGTACTTCCCCTGTTTGTCACAATAATCATTAACAGGAAGACTTTGGGGAAGTGGATGTCATTCTTTCTTTTTATACTGTGCTCAGGCAAATCCGGGGTGTTGGGCTTTTTAGTTATTTTTGAAAATGGTAGAATTTTGAGCAATTCTCCCGCTTCTACATTTGAAACTGGGTGATTCTGTCACTAAAGTATTATCTCTTTTGATTTGATTTCTTTTTTTATTTTTTATTTTATTTGACACCAGTCTCCTCGTGTTCTCAGTATACAAAGTGTCAGGCACAGTGTGAACTCAATGTGAGAGTGGCAACATTTTTTTCAATGCTTGAAGGTATCTGGGATTTGATATTCATAAGTAAGTGTAGTGCGTTTGGAATAATGAGTTCTGATAGTATTCCATCCAAATCAGAGGTTTTGAGCTGGGATTCGCAACGGTTAGCAGACTTTCTGAAGAAAGTAAGTTGCTTTCTCTTTCCATCTTTCAATGTAAAATATATAGTGAAATTGAAAACATATCTGTTGCAATCCATGTATTATTAAATGTATGTATACTATAGACATATAGTTACGAATCTGATACTGTTTAGAACTGATAAATGAGAAATATTTGTTATGAAGTAGCATTACTGAATGTACTTCTACAGACCTATGTTTGATATTTAATGTTATTTAATATTACATTATGTTGTTTATGTAGGAGATATGGTTATGTCTGTGAGCCTGTATATTCAACTGACATACTTTCTTTTTCATTATCTTTAGCGGAATCTAACTGGGTGTGATAAGGTCGTGACACAGTGTAACATCAATGGCCAAAGGTTCCTGGTATGTACCCCTTTAAAATTTGAGTCCAGCAGTTTTGGTGGGTCACAGGTCTGTTCTGATCACAGACAGGCAGGAAAGGGGGGATACATAAAAATTCAAGAGGCATTTAGAAACCAGAATTGACCATTTTCAGCATGTGTCATCATTTTGTCATAATTAATGTCATAATTTAGTATAGGCCTATTTTTGGCCCTATGCATTTGGTGGTAATCTGAATAAAATGTGTTTGATTTTAAGAACGTTTACATTTGTAAAAATATTTAGCTTTTAATTACATTTTGTTAAACATTCATATTCATTGTGGAACGCAGACAATAATTTCCCTTTACAAAACAGATGTCTGTGGTCTGACTCAATGTGGTATCATTGTTTTCCTTGATCCTGCATTTCAGGAAGCACTGTTATTAGAAACTAACTACCAAGTAAACTACTAACTTCTAAAAAGTACCAAGAACTCCTAATTCTCCTAACTTCTATTTCTAAACTACCAACTCCTAATCAGTCAGAAATCAATAAAAAAGTAAAGGTTTTAAATGTGTTTGTGTGTGTTTATATGTATGTTCAACTGATCCTTCAAATGATTTTGAAGGACTGAATCATTATTGCAGTGATTAATATGTTTTTAACCCTAACCCTATCTGATGCAGTGCATAGCATTTTATTTCTCAAACAACCATGTCGGAACACGTACCCATGTACTACATAGTCCAGCATGACAATGACAAGATTCATCAGGCTCAAACTGTGAAAGACTGGACATCACAGAGTACTGACCTAAACCCCATTGAATATCTTTGGGATGTGCTGGAGTAGACTTTACACTGCCTGTCCAAAAACAAAAGTTGCACATTCGAATATTTAATTGGACAGCCTTTAGTTTTGATGACACTGTGCATTCGTTCTGGCATTGTTTCAACAATGTTATGCAACGTCAAAACATTTATTTCCATCAAGAGTTGCATTCATTTTTGGCCGAGATCTTGTATTGACAATGGGAGAGTCAAACCACTCTGTAAAGTCGACTCCAGCACAT